TCTTTAATTATTGACAACTTTTGACATGAAATGTCAAAAAAAAAAAAATGCAGTCATCAACCTCCTCTTATTTAATTCTTTCTAACAAATAATAATTTTAGAAGCTATCAATGGAAATCAAGTTTTATTTCACAGAAAAGGAGAGATTTTTTTTATAAAAAAAACAACAATATTTTGGTGGTGTTTGAGCTTACTAGGATAAGAAAAATATTTTAGAAGGTTAAATTTCATCCATAAAGGACCCCTAAATTTAAGAGGTTGGGTGACCAGTTTTGAGGGTAATGAAATCCAGGCCTCTCTTTTTTTCTCACAAGAAACCATCATTTTCTTATAATTTAATTTGTTCCATCCAAGATTAGGTAGTTCACATCTAAATCCAATCAATATTTAGGACTTCCTATGTGGTTCCCTTGGGCTCATGTCATTTAAATTATTCACAAGTTAATCAGTGCATGATGGATAAGAAAGATGAATCATTATGAGTTTCTTGATGTCCTACATGGAGACTGTCATCAGCAGTGCCAAGTTTACCAATAAATAGAATATATCCGATCTGTAGTGGATAGTCCACTATTACAGAGTATCCACAAGTATTTTATAAGAAACCTGCAGGATCAAACATGTACAATTCAAATTACATTCTACCATCTAATCTCAAGCCAAGGGGAAGTCTTGGTGAGAAGCTTACTTCAAATTGAATCTTGACTAATAGCATGAAATAGTTTTAGTTCACATCCACTGTTTTCTCTCTGCAACTTTTATTTCATATACAGTATTCTTTGTTTCTCAAGATAAAATGAGTTATCCTTTATTGTCTAGTATTGTCTGATGCAAAAAAAAAAAAAAAAAAAATTCTATTCTAGAGTAATATCTTTTATTGTACTTTGATTTTTTCAAGGAATCAATCTTTCAGGACTAAATATGATCTCAGATATCCTAATTTGGGAGCTAAGGCTGGGTATCATCTGATAAAATCAACATTAAATGTCAGTTCTTTGAGCTACAAGAAATTGCCTGTTCTACCATCAACCCTAGTCATCCTTGGCTCTTAATAAAGTCTTGGCTTTTTCATTCTTCCACACCAATATTAGAATAAATATGGCTTTATCAACTCCTAAACTAATTGTAATTTGTCAATCATTTAAATGATTAATCAAACTTCAGTATGTAGGTTTTCCATAGTATACTGGGGCCAGTGTTTTGCTAGTGATGTGGGTAAGGCTTTCTCATAATTTTGAGCTCTAGCAGTGTCAAAGAGGGGGACTGATATCATAAATTCCTGTCAATATCATTAATAATGCCAAAATACAAAAAAAAAAAAATGGTGACAAAAGGACTGTTGGGTAATTTTTATTTACTACATATGTATGATGATGCAAGAAAAAAAATTCTAAAGTTTGAATCTGTCAAGCTAGAAGTTTTATTTCAAAGGGAAAAATAATAACTAATGAATCATCAGATAATTCATAACCAGATTGTCCATTTTCTTGATTTAGTGGAATAAGATAACATCCGAGTGCTGAACAAATGATATCTTAATTCTGAAAAGGGACATGCAGCTTATGAATGACTTATTTTTCAACCTAACACTGCTGTTTAATACCATAAAAATTTAACATGACTTATAAGAATAATAAGTATATTATTATTAATTTATGTTTATATATTTTATGTTAGTGATTGAAGCTTAACGAATTTAATTAGTTAGCATTGATGAAAAACTCAAATAGGAAAAGATCATTTGTGGATAAGAGCAGAGGATACGTAAGTAATCATTTAATTAAATCTCAAAGTTATCATGGTGGGACTTAATTTAGATTATGTTAAATCTTGACAAGAAGAGATTGTAACAATTTAATCAAAAACTTAAATTGATTTATAAGATATGATGAGTTTACTATAGATAACTTATGCTTTAATATTTTAGATAAATAATTCATGCTAAAACAAAGTCAATGAATCAATTAATTCAAGCTAAAACAAAATTAATGAATCAATAATCTTATCAGGATCCGATGTATTCGGAGTTGATAATACCTCAAGTTGAGAAAGGTGGCAACCTGGAGCTGAAGCAAAAGAGTCCATGAAGGTGGTGGTGCCACCCATATACCCAAAGCATTCTTCATGGTATCAACTGCCCCTCGAGCCATCTTCATCATCCTCCCTACAGGATGCTGCATGAGCCCCCCGAGTGAGCCACCATGTCCATCATCTCATCCTACTTCATATCACAGTACATATATATCCAAACAAAAGCAACCCTAAGAAAAATTGAGTGATGATAGAGAGATTAAAGGTTTCATATCACAGTACACATATATCCAGCTAATCTAATGCCATATATATATATATACACATACATACACATACATTCATACTCATCGAGTTATTAGGTCGAATCATACACATACATTCATACTCAAGTTATTAGATCAGATTCGACGGTAATAAATAAATAATATTTAAAACTAACCATGACAGACTATTCAAATACGAAAAAACTATTCAATGATGGGATTAGAATAGAGAATATTATCCCATCAAACGGAGAATCACAATTTGTAGTCCTGTAGTTATAGGAATCCACCAAATTCATGATGATTGATACCAAAAAAAGATAAGGATAATTTCGTTCCTACATTCAACATCAACCAGTTTGGAGTTAAATAGATATATAAATACATAAAATATACTGAATAATATTTAATATCATTTAAATTTTAAATAACAGTCAAATGATAATCATTTGATAAAGAATAATGACATATATATATATATATATAATTTTCTCTATAAAAAAACAACATAAGACAATAACAAAAAAGTGGTCTGGGAAAAAAACAAGTATTTCTACAATTGAATAGAAAGCACAAACAGATCTCTCACTCAGCTGATATAGTAAACCGACATATCCATCAAAAACACAACCATCTCCATCACAAACTACATCTGCAAACCCAACACACAAACCGTTATATATTATATATAACGGTGAGTAAAACTAAAACGTTTCTTTGGGGGGAAAAATTAGAAATTAAGATGACAAAATACCGTTAGGGTAAAATAACAATAATGTACAGCATGACGAACGAGAGGAACTATTACCTGCTTCTTCCTCTCTTGTTTTGTTCGCTCAATTCTCGTGCAATTTTCCGCTCATTTAATTGGGGCCGGATCGATCAGCACCGGAACCCTAGAACCGAACCGTCGGCGGCGGAGATCCCGACGCGGCAGCCGGCGGTGGCCTGGACGTGGTGCGTGAAGAAACGCAGCACTCGGACCCGGCCCTTGACGCTCATCCTCGAGTCGACCTCGACGGCGCCCGCGGCACCGGGGGGCAGCGCGGCGACAGCGGCCAGTGGGAGCGCGTCGACGGGGAAGGAGGCGGCCATGTGCTGGGTGCGGCCGCCGGCGATCTGCCCCGCCGGAATGAACATGAACCCCACCTGGTTTCCGGCGTAGACGAGCTGGAGGGTGCTGTCGTAGTGGGAGAAGGCGGCGCGGTTGGGGTTGCGGACGGCGGCGTACTGGTTGAAGGTGAAGCGGAGGGTCCCGTTGGCGGCGGCGAAGCCGGGGAGCTGGAAGGCCGACACCCGGATCTCGGGGTCGCGGGGGCGGAACAGGATGAAGAGGGCGACGGTAGCGGCGACGAGGAGGAGGAGAAGGAAGGCCGTCGCCAGGAGGCAAGAGGCCAGGTTCGTCCGTCCGCCGCCACCGCCGCCGCTGGCGCGGTGGTGGAAGTCGGGCGATCTGGCCATGAGGAGCAGTGCCAAATTAGGGTAATACTCGGTACCCTTTCCCCTCTCCTTCTTTACTCGATCTCCTCCTCTTTATTACGCTTCTGTTACTCAACTTCACATTACGTTTTTCTCTGTTCCGAATATGATATGTAAAGGTGAGAGTGTGAGAGGAAGCGAGGAAGGCAAAGGAAGGGCGGCGGAGCAAGTGAGATGCTCTTAGCACGTGCTAATTATCAGATCCGGATTTTGATCTGATCAAATATCGGATCTCAGGTATTTTAGATATTATTTTATTATTAAAATATTAAAATGCAATATGTTTGTAATTTTGAAATGTCTCTTTATTATAGAATAAATTAAAGAAATTTGATGATCAAAAAAATAAAATTTCAAACTTCAATAATACAGATAATAAATAAAAAAATTTAAAAAATCGATTGATTGCTAAAAAGGCATGATGAAAAATAAAAATAATGGTAATGAATGATGAAGATAAACAACAAAAATGAAGGAATAAAAGACAATGACAAGAAAATAGTAATAAAGTTAGAGAAAGGATCTGATTTTTTTTTTCAAGAAAAACTAAAATTGACCTCGATAATTAAGTAGGAATAACTTATGATCAACATTGATTAACAAAAATGATCCAATTAATAATGATATGGTTAGAAGCCAAACTAATGTATATAACCTATAGAAAGCAATCACAATTCATTTTAGAACGATTTTTTTTTGTTTTGTCTCGATTCATATTAACAAATAATAAAACCAGATACAAGGCGAATACCAAAATGAGGAGGAATAAATGACATATTAACAGAACAAACAAAGATGATAACTCTGCAGTTCATCCACCGGGTAAAAATACATTTCTTACAGATTTGGAACCATCAGAAGTCGGTCTGTGGGAAGAGTTAGTTTGTCAAGGTGATGATCCATGATTTCTGAAACAGATTCCAGGAAAGCAGTCTCGCTAGTGCCAGGGAGAATGGTATCGTTAGCTTCACGGAGTATCTCCTCGATCTTCGATTCCTTCCTGAGGGTCTCCCTGCACATGATGCTTCCGATGTCATAGGGAGTGAGACCTCTTTCGACTCCCTTCTTCAGAAGCATGGTTGAAACGTGAAGAGTGCGAGCACACTCGGGTGACAGCTCCCAACCATGGAACTTGAGGAGCGCAATATCTTCCTCGGCGTCTAATGATTTTATGTAGTCTATAACCTCATCTTTGAAAGGCTGCCGGGCTTGGGGCCAATAGAGCCACTCAAAGGTACAATCTTCAAACTGCAGGTTAGATGTAAAACTTGGTTAGTTGGGTTATAGAAAAGTAATTTTCGCAGCAATGTGGACATCATAAGAGAAAACAAGGATTAGGGCAACAGAATGATGGCTGTAAATTCCATTGTGAAACTTCGAAACTAACATGCATGAAAGTTTCTAATATGGAACCAAGACACTACTACTTCAAATATGTTGGATAAAAAGTATCTTGTGTCATAGTAGAAGAAGGAAAAGGAGATGCTGCAGACATTTACTAAATCGTCCGGACATGGGCAATCTGTATAGCACCTCCAAAAACCAAATGGCAAAATAAACTTGAAAACAGCTGCTTTATGTAAGAGAACAAAATTTACAAATGTCTAATTTTTGCTTGAACTTCTCACATGAACATTGTACTAATAATGTCTAGATATTCAGTGCTTCAAACAAAGTCAAATATTTAAAAGAAAGGTCAAGTGATTGCACTTGATTCATGTTATTTAGTATTCATTAGAGAGCAAGCTAATTGCTTTCCAATGTACTCAAGAATATTGATAACGGATGGTAATTCCAAGCTTATTCCCAGAGAAGGTCATTCAAAATGTCCATCCTGCTTATATTCTGTCTTGATGATTAGTTAGATGATTGTTACACAACTTAAATAATTGAGTTCTTTACCAGCATGCTAGCTAGTTTGCAGAACCATACTATTTTGTATTAGTTGCCACACATCTCTCTCGGAATACTTGCAAGCACCAATGGTAAAATGCTAAACTAACGTTGATGGAAAGCTATCCTAGGTATTAAGTTGTTTGTTATGTTATGAAGTCAATCTAATCCTTAGTCAAGGTACCTTTCAAGAGGTAACATTCATCTTCCACCACTTCATTTTCTAAAGAATAGAACACACTACACGCTCTTATCGTAGCAACTTCACATTATAACTATCTATGTGAAAAAATCATTTTACAGATAATTACCCATAATAACAAGCGTAAAGTACACAAGTATAGAAGTAGCTCTCCAGTTTATCACTAGAAATTGATAAAATCTTGAAACTGTTCAAAACAAAAACATGTAAATGCTTACAACCATAGTATAAGTAGCTAACAAACCCATCAAAAGAAAAAAAAAAGGTTCAGTGTTCGTACACTGTAATCAATAATGTAAAATTTGATCAGCCCGTAAATGAATAAGAAGATAAATATATACCACATCAAAGTTACTGCTAACTATAGCAACTTTACCAAAAACATAGCACAAGAAACAGAACAGAAGTATAAACATGCATGAACAATTCAAATTAAAAAGAAAACTCAAGTTCTATTGCAAAAAGAATCTAGAATTTTATATACTCACATTTTCAGGCAAGCAATATCCATGATCAATTGGAACCAGCAGAGTCTGCCCTGCCTCCTTGCAGATCAATATATTCCCAGCATGGCGGTCAGCATTAGCCAGTCTTATATCCAAAACACAGATCTTGTGAACCTCCTCCACTGGTAATGCTCGAGGCCCCATATCCTCGCAGCTCCCATAGTTCTTTACAAACATCTGCAATGATCCAATCTTGCAATTCTTCACCATACGTCCACTTCCTTCAGGATGATGAAACCCTCCATTCGAGCACCGCACCATGGCCGTCGGAGGAACACCTGCAAACCCAATTTCATCGGATAAGCGGCGGCCACCGACTGGGTGATCAAGGATGTAGGCTGCAACCTCCCTGAATGCACCCTCTCCAACCCTTGTTCCCTTCTTCAACCCTTCACCATCTTTTGACAAGGGAAGCCCGCGAGGGTTGTTTTCAGCCATTGGCTCCTCGTCAATTGGCTTGAACACAGCAACATACTTGTGGCCTTCGACATCCTGCATGAAGTATGCTCCACCTGAGCCTTCTGAGGACATGACCGGTGGATTTCCCCTCTCCAAGCCAGAAGATACAGACTGGATCATGTTCATGATCAATGGGGACAAGTTAACCTTTGGGTTAACGATAACTGGCTCAATTAGGGCGTCTCTATCTGGTGCTTCTATCTCCTCCTTTGCAACTGCAGCAATTATTGACAGTTCGAAGTCCTTCCCTACAGGTTTTGGCCTAACTTTCGCCGAATTGCCGATCAGAAAATGGAGCACGGCATCGTTGTCCTTGCAGATATCATTGATCACCTGCTGGTCATCGAGCTCTTCCCCATCACATATGAGTTTACGATCCTCGAGATCACGGAAGTTCTCGCCCCTTTTCGTGAGCTGCTGCTTGATGTACCCAATGTTCCGGCTCCGCTCGACTTGGAACTCGTACTTCTTCCCGCAGGCGGTTTTGACGGTGATGGAGCGAATGTCGGAGAGCCGGATGACCAGGTGCAGGACTTTCCCATCAGTAACCCCGTACTCCCTGACAAGGCTACTGTTACGGGCCAACTCCCGGCCATCGAACACCAGCTTCTGCTTACTCACCATGAAACCCTTATGGATCTGTATCCTGAGCTTCACGGAGGCGATGGAGTCGGACTCCGACACCCGCAATGGGGTAACCGGGGACCCAGGCAAGGCGAGGTAGATCAGGATGGATTCCGGCGGGCAATGGGAAGACAGAGCTCCATCGAAGCGGACCGGGGAGAGGGCCGAGTCTTCCCTGATGGGGCTGAGGACGACACTGGCAGCGGCGGACATCTTCTTTCCTCCGAATGGGGTAACAGCAAGAAGCCCTCTTTTGCCACTAAGAGACAAAAGGAAGAGGAAACAAGGCGAGATCTTTTGTCCCCTTTTCAGGCAGGAAGGCTCATTTTCTTCGATCAAAGCCCACCCTTGCAATCGAACCTTCCCCGCCTATCTAGGGCGTCAAGGAATCGCGGCAAAATGGAAGGATTCAACGATGCCCCACCTTCTCGCCGCAAGAAATAGATCGATGAGGAAGAAGATGAAGCAGCAGAGATCGACTCCTTTACCTGAAGAGGGGGGATTGATTTGCTCCGAGGAATCGGATTGGAACGTAAGGATTCCTTTCTCTCAGAACGACACCTTTTTCCCTTCGTCGAGGAGGAAGAGAGAAGAAGAAAGGAATGGGGCCGATCGCGATGGGTAAGGTTTGAGGTCATATATATAAGGCGGGCCAGGCACATAACGGCAACTGACGGCTTTACGTGGCGATGACAGCGGTTTTCAAAGAGTGGATTCCGGGAAGCTGGCTCTCACAGTAGTTTTACAATTATGCCCCTTGGTTGTGTAGTAGTTTGATATTTTAGAGCATATACATACATAAAATTGGTAATACCCGATGAGGTTGATTACATATATCTTTTATCTTTATTTTAGAAAAAAATATATATTTATTTAATTAAAATTAAACTATTTATAATTTTTATTAAAAAAATTTAAATCTTCTTTTACGTCTCTTGATATTAATTAATTTATTTTTTTTAACTATTAGATTCGAATGTCTATTCAGTATATATTCATATAATCTTAAATGATTTTTTCTCATCTTATCCTCTATCAAAACGATAGCTAGTTATTTATCAACAAAAAATATTTTATTTTTTATCTTTCTTATTAACTTCATATATCCATTTCAATATTCTTATCTTAATAATATAAATTTTTTATATATTTTTAAAATTATCTAACAAGGATAAGAATATTATCAGGTCTTATACTCTTAGTTATTTTTATCTTCTTTAATATAATTTTTTACTTTATTAATTTTAATTTTATTAATAAATTTATTATTATTATTTATTATTAAATATAAATTTCATGTATAATGTTATTAAATTTACAATAATTATTTTGGAGCATATACAATTAGAAAAAAAATACAAAATTAAAAAAATATATTATTTCAAATGAGAATCAAATATTATTATTATTATTATTATTATTATTATTATTATTATTATTATTATGTTATAATTCTATCAAATTCTTTTATAAAAAAAATAACGAAACATATGCGTCATTAAATAAATTTAAACCTTTAACTTATTTTCATAATTTTGAGACATCAATTATTTTTTGAGGATCAAATAACGTCAAGAATGGAGGAGGAAGAGAATAGTCATCTCATGTAGAAACTTCCATGAAACACAAGCATTAACGTAAATATGTTAAGAATTAAGGTAATGTTTTTTTGTTGATAAGAAAAGAAAAAAATAAATAGAGGAAAATGTACCGCAATCATCGGCGGGGTAATTCTGTAACTTCATGTGTCCGGCACGAAGCTTGTTTGGCGATGGATGATGACACGAGGCTGAGGTGTCGCAGCGGGGATGGATAGGGGCGCGGGCTTCGACGTGTCCCCTTCTGGGCGCCACTAACGTTAACGGAAAATGACGTGTCGGACAAAGCGAAACCATGTGCACGTGGGCCCCAGAGGCACGCGTCTGTTTGGAGACGTTGCTCCACCCGACGAGCGTGCCGCCGCGTCGATTGTGACCATCGACTGCCTTTGGGTCACTGGCACGAGAGTGCTTGATGATTCGCACAGATCATCTTCACAACGATCAAAGGCGGTCTCACCAAAATATCCTTCACCTGTTTACATCAAGCCAAATAAATAATTTTCTTATTTTTCTGTGAAGATAAAGATGAGACAATAAGATTTGTGTTTATATCATACCAAATAAGTTATTATTATTATTATTATTATTATAAAGATAAGATGAGAAAACAATAAGTGAATTTAGAATTTAATAAACCAGTCTCAAAATTTATGTTTAGCAAATATATTCCAGCGAAATTTATGTTCAGAAAATATTAGCATTCCAGTGAAATAATAGTATGAAATAAACAGGTCCACACACCCCACCTTCAAAGAGAACGGCTGTCGGAGGGCGAGTTCAAACGGCCTTTTCCCTTTCGAAAGCCGCACTCATATCTTATGACGATGGAAAGGGACGCAATCCTGTATATAGCGCTGATCATCCAAAAACAATTACTAATTATTTATATCAAAATAGATCTAAAAATGCTTAACAAAAAAATTAGATCTAAAAATTAAAATTATATACATGAATTATGCTAGCATGTAATTTCGATATCAATCCAGGTAGTGAACCAACCAGATACCATAGGCCAAACTACCAAGAAGAAATGTAAAGGACAAATATAAGATCAATTGACCAAAACTGGGCATTAGCAGATCAATTGACAAATATAATGATCAACCTAGAGGTTATCAAGCAATGAGAAAATACGCCAGCTACACCACTAATGTCATCTTCTACCTAAAACATATAAATCATAAGTCGAAAGTCCAAATATTCCTAGAGTTATTACCGAACAATATATCGACCCATGTCCTTCAATGCAACTAAATAAAATAATAAAGGTTACCTGATATTTATTGGTATTAAATGTCATCAAATTATATGGTTTCGATACAACAAACAGTCAGCAGCATACTTTGAACAACCAGCAATTACTTGCAAACCCGGGCAGAACTTCCAAATAATTATATAGCAGCTTATAGATTGAGCCGGCAATCGACCCATTCATTTCACACTTTCACCAATGACTTGTGTCATGGCAGAGAGAGATTACCCACCAGCTGTCATTCTAATGATGCACACCATCTAGTAGTCTCTGATACAGATTCATTTCTGTCCATATATAACATATGCCTCGGTATGCAAAGTTTCTTCTAGTCCGAGAGAATATCAATACTACAAAATGATTTGATGAACCAGAATGCCTCGTTGCTTCAATTAAAGAAGGTAAACCTTTAACATAAATCAGACAGATACATCTGCTGGAAAACCAACTTCAACTGGAAGACTGAGAATGAAAACCAACAGGAAAAAAAAAACTCAATCCTCCAAGAAACTCTTATTCACAAGGAGACACTAAAAAGTAAAAACGTCCACTCAGTCGATAAATTCTTCTTTATTGAACTGGTATAGTTGGGCCACATTCACAATAGGTGCCTGACTGTTCTCAAGTATAAACTCACACTAGCCGAATAGGGAGATCGTGGCTCCCTTCATAAGCTTCTCTCTATAAATTCCCAAATTCTCACCTCCATATAAATACGATCTCTAAGCTGACGAGGCATGTGCCTTTCATCTGGAAAAAGCAGAAGCTCATATGGCTTGCCAGCTGCAATGAGCGAGTTTATGAGCCTCGCGGTGTGCCTGAAGTGCACATTCTCATCGATCATTCCATGGATAAGCAGCAGCTTCCCTTTGATTTTGGGCACATGATGCATGATCGACCCATATTCATAGGCATCTGGATTTTCTTTTGGCAAACCCATGTATTTCTCGGTGTAGAACGTGTCGTACCCATCCCATGAAGTCACGGGGGCGCCTGATACTGCACAGCAGAAAGTCTCAGGAAACCTTGCCAGGCTCATCGCCGACAGGAAACCCCCGTAGCTCCAACCATAGAGGCCAATATGACCCACTTTGGCAAGGCCTTGCCTTACAAGCCACTCTGCACCAGTAAGTTGATCTTCTGCATCTATATGACCAAAGTTGTGCTTCAGATGGCCTTCGAATTTCAAACCTCGTCTTGCGGTCCCTCTGTTATCTAGCTGCCAATAGAAAACAGCAACCATAGATTGAGCTGGCAGATGTAGTGACAACCATGACTACAATATGGTAAATAGAGCAAGGGTTGATATGTAACAGCTAGATATTTCTTAGGGCACCTGTAAAACCGACCTACATTCATGGTATTCAACTAATTACTCAATTAAAGGACACAATATACATGCTATAATTACCAAATAGCTTATTTTTCAGAGGAACCTAGAATACGTTTGACCAACAAAACACTGAACCTAGACTATATACACAGAAAGATAGTAGTTCATATGCTTCCCTGAAAAGCACAAGTAAAAGATAGTAGTTCATATGCTTCCCTGAAAAGGGCAAGTCCTAGAAAGAACTTATTTTATAAAATACACTAATAAAACATACAATCAGCCTGTATAAGTTTGTGTATACTGACACAAACTGATACTTTTGTCCTGAAAATTTGGGGAGGTAAAAAAAAGGTCAAAATGCAGGTTGGACCGAAAAAAAAATCTAATCAAACATTTCAATGCAACAAATGAGACTTATGTCTTTGTTAAATGGTTCACTGAAACAGATACCAAAACTAAAATATGACCTGGTTGCCAAGTTTTGACTTGATACACTGGAATTTATTTCGAGAGGTACAATATGGTGATGTAGACCCAAATAAGGATTTTCAGAAAGCCATTCACTCTAGGTGCAAGTCAAGAAGACCAGGGAGTGAGTGCTTCCTCTAATGTGTGCTGACACTTTTATAAATAATCCTAGAACTTGGTTTGACTTGCTGAAATTGTGAGACGAAAATAATTGGAACTTCATTTACCTTGTTGGAATTATAGGTTTGGTTGTTGTCGTGATCTTCGTAACACTTTTGAATTTGTTATTTGAGTTAATGTAGTTATGAGGACTTATTACGACTTAAGCCTACACAAAGGGCCTATCTAATGTAATTCAGCACAAAATGATTTTAAAATATGAATTATCATCTATTGTCCTCTTAAATCTCTCCTCGTCTTATGTCTCTAGTCTCCTCACCTCTTCTACCCTCTCATCTCCTTCCTCTGCTCCTCTTCTACTCTCTTCCCTTTTTCCTAGTAGTTCTGAATCATAAGGCATTTAATAATTAAGGAGGTCTTTCCAAATCATCGCTATCTCGGTCATGCATAATGGATTATACACAAATTTCCTATTGTTTTTCAAGCCATTTGAATTATTGTGCATCACAACTTGTGAATAAGACTATAGATGATATAATATAACCTTGCGGAACAAGTTCGTATCGAAACAAAATTGTTGGCACAATGACATTATGTGACAACTATTCTTTGAGCATTATGTGTTGCCTTTTCATCATCATATCATGATCTTCCCCACAATAAATGCTCATCTATGACCAAATTGCAATGATGAACCATACAGGGTTTCTTCTATTTCTTCAACTTCAACATTTCACAGACAATTTCTGTCATGTAAGTCCTACTTGGTTTGCTGTCACAAATTTTCAGTCTTAAGGACATTGGAGTGCTTCAGATCCAATTCCTTTTCAAGTATTCATGTCTCAACTTCATTGATCACATTTCCCACAGCATTTAGACTACTGAAGAAGATTAACCAAGAAATTCTGAAAATTTCTCATAAAGGTTAAGTTCAGTGTGCTCCTTCAAATTTTAGGCATAAAGAAAAGATGTTGAATTTATAATTAACAGATGAAAAAAGATAAAAGGATACGTTCGAAGAAATTAAGTCATCATAAGTATTTCAACAGTTCAACATTTTTAAGTTATTCTTTGAACTCCAAATCCATTAACACCACCAATGTCGGTCCTAAGCCCAGATGAAAAAGGTGGAGGATTGTGTTAGGTCACCGACGACCAGCGTAAAACTATCTCAGATCTCATGAACATGGATCTTAACTGACGGCAAAAGATATATGTAGCCGACCCCATATAGTTGAGACTTACGGCTTTGTTGTTGTTGTTTGAACTTCAAATCCATTACTTGCAAAATCAAGAGTTTTGACACAAGATGGCAGCCATATCAACTTTTCAATGTAATCTCAGTCACTCGTGAGATCCTAAGTCAATTTATTATAGTTGAATTTAGGTGGATCATATGATGACATGTAGTCTCAGCTGCAAAAAACAATAAGGTTTGATGCAGACATAGCAAATTATATGTTGTCTAAGCTGAAGCATTATAAGACAAACATGAGCTTTATATCACAAAATTTTCACAAATTTCAATGAAATAAGAATTTGATATATTTAACTTATAGATCTCCTCAAATGGTTTTGATCATATTAACCTGAGAATTCTTTGAAATTGACAATGAACATTACAAAGAACCCAACAACTTCTTCAATCAGAAAATACTATCCCAACTGACCAACTTTGTAAGAACTTAATTATTTTTTGTTCTAGTATTCCCATATTTAAGTTCACTAACTCCATCTCCCTTTGTAATACCCTGGCTAAGTCCACATTAATGGGAGAACAGTGGGATATAAATGGGCCTACTACTAGTATTAACTTGTCTTACATTTTGGGCCAATGGTTCTGGCTCAACAAGTTAATGGATTATTAATCCCGTTAGATCAAATCGTGACAAATGATACCAAAGTCAACCTAGTAGTGAGAATGATGAGAGATTCAAGTAGGAAAAGGCTAACTATGGATGAGATTAGAGGGTATATCATGATATAGAGGCACCATTGAGCTAGGTCACATGTGCACCATCTTATGATCTGATTTTGAACTATGTTGGTCTTGATGAGGATGTCAAGTCATTAGATTGGGGAGTTTGTTATATTTGGTTCAGTCCATATCAGAAGTGGCAAAATAATGGAATATTCTTACAAGGACCAGATGGTCCAACTACCATTGACTTGAGCCATCTAGGCACTTATGGATGAAGCTCGACAAGTTAATGGACTCGTCATCCCATCAAGCAGGGTCATGGCACCCTACCCACCCTACCTTTTGAACATTATGAAATATAAGCAAAAAGTCTCTTGCACGATAAAATACCATATATGTCCTAAACCCATTAAGGAATTCATATAATTTAAACAATACTGCATAACTAAGTTAAGCAACCCAAGGTGAAATCAACAAGCCATTTTAAAGATGCTAAACAATATAATCGAGCATGAAGATTAGGTAAGGCTTTTTAAAAATGAAGATGTGAAATATTGGACACAATGCTTGAAGAACAAACATGTTCAAGCAATCCAAACCTTATCCCACTAGTAGGTATGCTTCTTCAAAGCAATCACTGATAAATGTTGAGAATGAAATTTAACAAATCAAGCATATTGTGTTGCAGTTTTTGGACCTGAACACAACTAAGAGAAAATAGTAACCAAAATTACCTTCCACACTAAGATGCCCTTATTTCGTAGGTATTGAGCTCTCATGTCAACAGTATTTATCCATGAATCAACTACAAGCTGGACGCTTGGACCACCATAAACATTGATTAACGTTTTATATGGTGGCGGCCCAAATTTGCTTGCATCAGGCTTGTATAAAGTCCCATATAGTACAGTACCATCTTTTGCAGATATTTGCACGATCTCTGGTGACAAAAGTTGCAGCTTTCTAAAATGTGGAATGCTTAAAGGCTGCTCATATAAAGGTGCTATTATACTTCCATCATGTAATGAACAAAGTATTACTCTAGGTGGAGAGTTCAGAGAATCATAGACATCGACAAACCTCTGCATCTGATGATCGAGAATCACTGCATGTCTCCCACTGCCATGAGTCAACCTCCTTGGCAGTTGCAAGGGATGATTCCAATCTGGAAATAGGCTTGTGCAGTACAAGTTGGATTCTAGTGGCCCATCCATGGTGCCAGTGAAGAAGAGAAGACCTGCATTTTCATTTACACCAGAAATTTGTTCAACCATCCAATTACCCTGGGTGATAGGTCCTAAACAAACTCCATTCTTATCATGAAGGTACAAATGTCTAAAGCCGGTTTTTTCACTAGCCCAAATGAAACCACCAGACAAATTGTTCACTCCTTTGTCCAGAGGTGTCAAGCAATCATGCAAATTTATCCATGTACCCTGTTCTTCCACAAACAAAATTACTTTCTTTCCAGTCTGAATATCAAACTTAAGAATTTCTAATTTGGTCTGGGATCTGTTGAGAACCTGAGCTACAAGAGAATTGTCAGGCATCCAATTCACTCTGGCTAGATACTCTTCAGCACCTCCAGCTTCATCCTGCACTCCGCAAATAAGATCCATCCAAGTAACTTCTCCTCCGGAGGCAGCAACAACTCCAAGTCGAACTTTTACATTAGATGCTCCAGCAAATGGGTATGCATGGTCTTCCTGTGCATCTGAACCAACTGACTTTTTTCCTTCATGCATAATTCTAAAAAGAGGTATCTCTGATGAATCAACTTCAGCAAATGCAATATATTTGCTATCGGGAGACCACCAGAATCCATTTTTCCTTTCCATCTCTTCCTATACCCAAAAAGTGTAATTCAGTAAATAAGACATTGATTTACAATGCACTGACATCCAAGCAAATATATAATTACAATGAGAGGATAAGGCTATACCTGTGCTATGTATTCAGCAAGACCATGAGTCTGAAAACATAAAACAGATAGGACAGGTTAGACATTACACATGAAAATAGGCCACTAAAAGATTCAGGCATATAATAAATTCTTTACTAGATGCTAGGTGTACATAAAAATATATATGCACATAAAACTATATATGCTCAGATAAATTTTGTCGATTTTGGAATATATATATATATATATCAGCTTGTTGCCTATAAAATAATCAGACTTATATTCAATACTGAGAAATACTATACAAGTACAGAGCGACAAAATTTGTTTAATGCCTGCTTTTTGCACCCACATACAAAAAATTCAAAAAGCTAACTCCCAAATCGGCTAAACAAGTCAGGTAAAGATATGTTTCTGATATATTCTTTTGTCATGCTTGCTTTCTTTATGGAATTAGTACCATGTCTGATTTCTGTTACTCAAAGAGACTCTTTCAACAACATCAACACACATTCAAATGTGTTTACAGACCATAACGAGATCAAAACAAAGTATTTGATGATACTTTGTTTGCTTCAGCATTCTCAGATAGGCTGGTGGTAAAACTTACAATGTAGGGAACGATACTCTTTCAACAACATCTACACACATTTTCTGATTTCTTCTAAGTATTTTTCATTTTTCAGTATTAAAATCCAAAAGAGACTGGACCAACCTTGATGTGCAACTACTGTTCAGCTTCAATCATTTAGCCTTATCTGTTCAAAAAGCTAACTTCTCCACTCGGTTGAATATTATCTTCTTTGGCATAAAGTAATGATTCATTTAGACATTTGGGTCACAAATTACGTGGCACAAAACATGATCTATGGTCATAATGCCTGAAGATACAGAGGTTCTCCAGCTACCAAAACAAAACAATAAACTTTAGTCATAAAGGTACCACTAACAAGAAGCAAACGCTTATCAGAGCAAGGAAGGTCATCAAAACATAATACATTACATAAATGAGAAATGAATCTCACCATTCCATTTTCCTTTGCACCAAAAGTCAACTGCTTAGGGTGCCCCTCTGATAAACTTAAAACATGAAGCTCATCCTCTCTAACATACGCAAGCATGCTTCCATCCGGAGACAGATGTGGGTCAATTATTGGCGAACTAGAACGACACGGCAGCTTGAGCTCTGGCTCCGTATCACATATTTCCTGTAAATAGATCTGCCAGAAAAGAGAACATTCACAATCTCTCTCACCGTAGACAAGAAAGTTAATCATCGATAGATGCAGCAGCGAATAGTAAATCGAGTTATAATAATATAGCGAAAATAAGACAAAATTTTCACTACGCTAAACCCAGGGACCAACGAAGCTAATCAAGAAACAGCAGAGACAACAGATAAGAGCAGAAAGCAGACCCCAGTGGGCAACGGCACCATGATGGTGTGCTTCCCCGAAAGGGACCTCGCCTTCCACTCATAGCGCGTGACACCTAATCCCCGCTCTCTAGACCTCTCTCTCCTCAGCTTCTCCTCCTCGGAGAGATTGCACTCGTCAAGACCCCCTCCGTCGGGCGGGCTAAACACCAGATCCCGCCGCCGAGAGGCGACGTCAAAGGCAAAGACTTTCCTGTAGAGGGTGCCATCGGGGCTGAACAGGTACGAGATCAGGCGGTCGTCGGGGCTAAAGGTGATGGAGGAGGGGACGACGTAGCCTGGCAGCGGGTACTGAACGATCTCCTCCACGGGGAAGAAGGAGGATTCATTGTTGGCGTCGGCGAGGGGCATCTCCGCCTCGCAGTAGCGCGGCTTCTTCGCAAAGACCTTCTCGTCGTCCTCCGCGGCCGCAGGTGCATGCATCAGAGGGGGCGTGTCGCCAGCGGAGAAGGGGCCGGGAGGCCACCGGAACACCACGAAAGGTGGCGGGTCTTGGCTGGAGGAGGACGGAGGGGAGGCGGAAGCCTAACCCTAAGGGAGATGGGATCGGACCGGGCGGGCGATCGGATCGCGTGGGGGGGAGGAGGAGATCTAGCGATCCTCTTCCGGCTATCCAAGCCACGTTTTGGGAACCAACAATGCGCCTCATTTTACAGCTTCATCCTCAACGAATAATGATTAGAAATTAAGTCCCCTAAAAGAATTATATCGTCATGTTAGACATATATACTAAAGTATATATCATAATCAATAAAATTAAGTTTGTTTTTTTTATATTTTTTTAGTGGTCTAGTTTTTAATTTTTGAGTCGAATCGAAACGTAGTGAACCAAACCAACGAAAACTACATAGAAAAACTTTCAAGTATCAGAAAACAGAACTTGTCGTTTTTTATATAAAAGATTGAAAAGTTAAAAAACCATTATTTTTGCTAAATTAGTCAATTTGGTATTTATGACTCCTCAGGTAACTAATTGGTACATGGATTAATCCAAATCGGATGATCCAAATTTGGTATGTGTTCGACTAGGAAGGAACTAAGACCGACTCGAAGAAATCTTCCCACCGCCAACCAATAATGCCTACGTGCATTCCCTGAAAACAAAAAGTTCTCTCCAACTAATAAATAAGAAGCTCTCTAGGAAAATAAAAACCAACAACTTTTTTTCGATAATTTGCTCGATCTTCATCGACACATGCATCATTGAGGAAATGCCATTATAAGCGAGAATTAAAGCATAATATTTTTCTTTGTTAGGATAAGGGACGCTAAAGCATTTGTCATAGAATAAGCCTACAGAGTAAGTGTTCAACGACTAATATTTACTCACATCATAAGAGAATTTAAGTTTAGACAACGATGCTTTTATAATATTTTTGTATTCTTTATTATCTTTTATAATTTTCAGTAATAAGTTTTACAAGATTTTCTTTCATTTAATCCTCAAGAGATTCTTATCACAACTCGGGCAAGATGGGTCAACTGATTTATCAATTTCGTTTGGTCCAAATCACTGGTCAAAATACTTAAACTGAAGTTGATAGTAATATACTCATCGGACCCTTATAAATCAATCTTAATCTTACCTATTTTCAATGTGAAACTAATCAAGGGTTTTACAATTCTTCTCTTCGTCTAATTTAAATACCTCTTCCAATACACCATCTCTATCACTCTTTTTTTTTTTCTTCCAGGTCTAGTCTCTCAACTCCGTCATCCACTCATCCCTACTATGTTGCTTCGTTGCCTCATTGTAACCTTAAATTGTCATCACATCAATCACACCTAATGTTGCAACCCTTGCATTGCACGACCACCAATATCCTAATTATCTCCCCTCTCTGTATCTCTGTCATATCTGTTCTGCCCCTTTATTACTTCCTCCTCACCCTTTCTGTCATCTATTTTCCTTTGGTATAGTCATAGTCCATAATTCATGCTAACTTCAGGCAATGATGCTTCTGTCATTTAAGTTGAATTGAATAGGCAACAATGACAAAGACAAATAGTAGCAACCAGAGGCTATGCTTTCTATTATCTTTTAGTCCACACTATAGGTTTGTGGTGCAGAATTCTCAGTCTATCCGTTCATCTTTGTTAACTACCAAGGGATCAAAATCCCCAGCTTGGCCTAGTCTAAGGTCAAATTTGGTTAGAGGTGCCTGTATTGCAGGTTAATTTGGTTGATTTTTAGGTGCCATAGAAGTACGAAGGTAAGGCTTGTGATGGCTTCTAATTAGATACAACCCACCATTACTAAAAAGGTGTTTCATTACCAGAAAGAAAATGTTGTAAATTAACAAGAAGTTTGATTCATAAGCTATTTAAACTCTTGATACTAGCACAAAGGGGAATTTTCTGATAACTTCTAAAATTCCTAATAACATAGCTTAAGTTAAGAATTTCACAATACATAACAACAAGGTCCAATGATGAAAGAAAAAGTTCATAAAATTGTAAACATATTCAGCAAAAAGTTAAGAAGCTACATGAATTTTCTTACCTAGACAATTGCACAATTGAAAGTGGTACAGAGCTGGAGAAGAGCAGCTTGATTAGCCGGATCCACGCACTTCTCAATCATTGTCCTGTTCCGACCTGGATAACCTGCTGAAAGTCTAGACAATGATGTCACCAAAAACTCCTTTGGATCCCTTATCTCCTTCAAAGGGTCTTCCTCCTCCTTCCCACCATAACGAAGACGAGCAAAGGCTGTTGAGAAACCCAATGTTTCAAGAATATCAGCCTCGCCATTTTCAAGTTCCCCTTTGTATTGATCTGGTTGAGCAAGCAAGATGATGATACTATCAAGCATCTTTCCCCAGAGCTCACTGAATGAGGGATCTAGAAGGACTGGGGATGCGCAAATAAGTCTTGTTGCAGCCACTGATGCCAGCTTCATTTCAGTGGCTCCTGAAATCAGCTTCAAATTAGGAATCCAAAATGGTTGAAGGATCTGCATGAATAAGCCCTTCTGAAGAGAATCTATGGACTCCACGAGAATACTGGGACCATGCTTGACCAAAATCAATGACATGAATATTACAAAAGAATTTACAAACTTTGCTACACGCCTATTCTGCAACCGGGTGAAAATTGCATTCCATATATCTCTGAAGTATGGTGCTACAATTTTCACAGCTGAGATTCTCCGCCACAGTATTGAGCACATAAAAACCCAGTTCTTCGGTTCTGGAAGCAGAAAGAAGACCTATAGATATCTGTACAACCTGATGCAATCTTCCCTCATCTTTGAGTTCATTGGGAACCTTCTGCAAATAGGCCTGCAGCAGTCGAACCAATGCAGGGACATTTCCTGACCTCTTCCAATTTTCTGGTGACAGAAGCACATGGAATAGCTGCATGTAATTATCAGAAAGTGGTGGCTTACTCATTTCAACAAGCTGGGCAAATATTTGGAAGGCATATGGCCAGAACTCGGTCACATCATCAACTAAAATTTTCCAGACTGGGAACAGGCTTGCGTCAAACACTGGGATAAGTGCCTGGTCCTTCTCACCAGACCTGCCAATCAGTGCAGCAATTGACTCGAAGAGGTAGTGGTTAAATGTTGGTTCTTGCATACCTCCGAGAGCACAAATGCCAGACGACAAATGCAATGTGCAGCAACCTCACTGTTGAGGTTGCTGATACCAAGAGTTCTCATGATGCACTTCATGATGTATGGATTCTCCTGTGACTCAGGGAACTGCAATGCGCAGAAGAGATTGGTCATCAGTTGTGGCAGAAAAAAATTGATATCCAATGGACCATATCGAGGAGTCAAAGTAACCCGACACTGTTGCTCTGTCCTTCACTAGCAACAGCTTCTCAATACAGTTTGCGGCATATGAATGGACCACATTTGATTCAGACATCAGGAACCTTGCCAAATGGGGCAGCAGAGCCATAACAGCTTGCTTAGGTATCTGATCACGGAAAACTGTAAAGAACTTTAGTGCACCAGCTTTCAGCATTGGGGCAGCATTCACGTCCTGCTCCTGCAGCTTAGGAAGAATGACCGAGGTGAAGAAGCTCTCCACATCCACAAGGTAACCACCACTGCTGCCAACCTTTGGAGCAAGCGCAACCACAAGATAAATTGCACTGTCCTTCTCCTTCCAGTTATCGCCTAGGTTGACAGCATAGACCTTCAGCATTTCCTGTATCTGCATTGACACCAATGTCGTAACCTGTTCCTTGTAATTCAAGGCGATTCTTTTCAGGAGTTCAAATGCAATTCTCCTCCTAGTATCAATATCACTGCCCTCGATATCCCTCCTAACGTACTCAATGTAATTCATCTCGAACAGCTCCTCGTCCTCCTCACGGAACCGGATGTTAGGGAACACGATGCTTGAGCATATCCGCTGGAGTACCTCAGGGCTGCCGAACAGTGAGTGGTGGACGCTAGTACTGACCGTCGTCAGGAATTTGATGGCGGTGACGGTGAGCTGGTCACGTGACGGCGAAGAACCTGGAGTCAGCAGCAGTTTCCACACGGTAGACGCGAAGTCATCGAGTTAATCCTTGAACTCCTCCTCATTCTTCTCCATGTAAAGCTGGAGGTTCTCGCACACGGAGGCCCTAAGGGCGTCCAAGGTGCCCTCGGCCTCAACCGCAGGCGAGTAGGCAGTACCAAGGTAGGCCAGGAACTCGGTCATCCACTCGCGCATGTGTTCCTCGAAGAACTCAGGTAACTCGACGGAGTTGAGGGAGTGGAAGATATCGCAGCAAAGGCCCTGCGAGTCGAAGAGCGGGCGGAGAGTATCAGGAGGGCCAGCTACATTTGCAGCGATGAGCCGGGAGGTCCTGAGGAAGACCTCAAGTAGGGGGGCAGCGAAGACATCGAGGCAGTACTTGAGGTCAAGACGAAGGGCGTTGTTGTCAAAAGAGATGCGGAACTTGGAGAAGAGGGAGGCGACGAGCTCGGGGAGGAGGGCGGGCCAGGACTGGGGAAAGTCGTGCGAGCTGACGACAGCGAGGGCTTCAGAGAGCTGGGGCTGGACGCGGGGCAAGGCAGCGAGCATAAGGGAGACAAGGACGGACTTGACCTGCTCCTTCTCGGGGGCGGAGATCGGGGAAGGAGAGGGGGCGGAGGAGGACAGGGGCTCCTCGGCGGCGCCGGCGGGGAAAGGGGCCCAGCGGGAGCGGAGGTGATTCTTGAAGTGGACGGCAGCGGCGAGTCGGATATGGTCGTCGACGGAGGGGGTGGCAGCGAATTGGAGAAGGGCGAGGGCAAAGCCGGGCGGTCGGCGGCGGCAGCGAGGGAGCACTCGGCGGCGCGGCGGGGTTGGGGATCGGGCGAGAGGGATTGGAGGAACCATGACGCTAGGGTTTCGGGACCGATGTCCATTGGAGGACGATTCAGGGACCGAACCGATCGGCCATGAAAGGAGGAGTCGAAGGCAGAAGTAGAGAGAGGAGAAGTGCCGGTAAAACCAAAGCAATACCGATTTGAAATGGAGCGACGAGGCCACGAGGAGGTAAAAGAGTGTTTATATAGGAAAGGGTTTCTTTCGCGAGGGCACCCTTTCCTATATTGGTTGTAGTTGGGGAAGGAATTGCTCATTCAAGTATTTGATATACATACTTATTTTCGAGTATATCAAATTCCCCAACAACCAAAGCAATTCCCTTCTTTTCTCCCGTTTGAGAATATCATATTTATGATTTAAATTTTTAATATATATATATATCTAAATTAGTAAGCTAATAAATATATTATAATTGATCTGATGATTTAAAATATATAACTATATTAAAAAATTGCAATCA